TTTACACATTCTTGAATTTACATAATATCTCATAAATCCAGATCTTCAGGAAGCAGAGCAGAAGGACTTTCTCTGATACTGTTCTTACTGAGTGCAGGGTAGGCTTAAGTTGACAGTGGGTTCTGCTGTGATTCATGTGTAAAAACCCCAAAAATCATCTTTATCTCAGATAAATAACTTTATCATACTCCTTTCTCAGTCAAACTGAAAACAAGGAGTGATTAAAAATCTTGTTGCATTTTTATTGTTTTGCCTTCCTGATTTGATAGAAGCTCCCAGTGCTGAAACACTTATGTTATTCACAGCAAATTGCTTCCCTGATCCGCCAAGTTAGGCTCCCATGAGGAGAAATGAGTCATTGTGAGAGAATTAATTCTCCTCTTGTCTGGTCTTGTTCTTTGCCAGTGCTTTAATACCTTTTAGCGTTGTGATAATGAGTGTAGCCAAGAAGAGTGAGAGGCTCAAACTGAGACAAGACTTTCTCCGTCTGCAGCAGGTGTGTTGATCTGCTGCCCCCTGGTGATTGAATTGTGTGTGTGTAGCTTCCTTTACAGCATTCTAATACAGACCTGATTTTTATTTGCTCCCCGTCGTGATGCACTGACAAATAAAAGAGCATCACTCTGATTCTATTGTAGTACAAAGTCTGGTAGTTTGATGAAGAATCATTAATATATGGGGCAGCCTTTTGAAAAATGTATCTTGGGCTAAGAGGGATATTGTGCATTAGAAGGCTGCCATCTGCTGTCCATATGCAGACAGTGTAGTGTGACGCACTGACCTTGCAGTGTTTGATGAACTAGTGTATGGGATGAGATGGAAAAGTAAGATGTGAAAGGGTTAGGAGAGAAAGGAGCTACTCACTTCCTACCACCCCCTCCTTACAAATACACATGCCCACACATCTCCACAGTGACTAGCTTTATGGTTGACAGATAGATCTCTGGGAGGTCTCAGGGGTCCCTAGGGGGAGCTCGTGGTCAGTGAGGTGGATATTCTTAATGTCAGCCTCAACTGTCAGGCCAAAAAACCTTCACACTGTGAGGTTTTGGCTCAAGACAGTCATTAGGACATACACTGCAAACATAAGATACAATACCAGTTATGTTTTGAATTGTTGGCCAGAAAGATTACGTTTCAGAGCAATATATCCTGTTGCACTGCAACAGCAATCTTTAAATAAACAGAAAACAAAGATAATTCCCCCTCCCATTCCTTGCTTAACTCTGCTTGCAGGATAACCCCAACAGTCAGTCTAAGCTCAATTAATTTTTTTGACTATATTTAAGCATCATTTTTGTCAAGGTTTCCTTTTGTGGGCGCTCATTATCAAAGAAACTGTTCTCTTTGTATTCTGTATACATATCAGCATAACTTTTTTGTTAGAGCCATTTATACATACGTAAGTGTAGTATATCTTTTGTGTGTTGCAGTTTTAAGTAGATCATGCCAGTGCCGCATGCTTAATTGAAGGTAATTAAGGCGCCAGTCAACTCTGGCTGCTGATTGGTTAAAGCTCGCAGCATGCTGCCTGTTTTATTAGAAGCTGTGGAGCTACAGTAGCACACTGGTCTTTGACCATGCTTTACATTTTGCTTTATTGTAGTTTTGTATATAAAGCTTTCAGTAAAGTATGGAAACGTAGAACATGGACTGGAGTTTTTTATGAACCTGCGGAATGATCATTACCGGTTTGAGATCCCCGCACCCGAGGCCGCGTGGCCCCTCGGTGCTGGCGGCGGATATGTCAGAAAAAAACATTTGTCACCAATATGTTTTCCAGCTCTGCAGTTTGTGTACGCATTTTTTGGAATAAGACAGAGCCACACTAACATTTTTATTGGCACAGATTTGAATTGTCTCAGCCAAGATAAAAATGGTTCTCAGGTCCATTCAGATATTTTGATGTCTCATTTATTTATATAGGGACATTTATTTGAGCCATGTTTTTAATATTCAGCACATCTAAGAGGAGACATCATGTGCTACAAGTCCCATATTATGCTTTTTCTGGTTTTATATGCTCTTTAGTGTGTTTTCCAAGTGTCCTGTGCATGTTTAGGCACATCTATGTGCAAAAATTCAAAGTCCGTGGAAACGCAGCTTCTCCTACGTCCTCCTGTTAGCTGCAGCATTAGCTACATGTAACGCTCGGTTCTAGCCCCCCTCGATAAAAATTTGTCAGTCCGACGTCATTGTCAGTGTGAGATCACTGATCTAAGCCCATTGGCTCGTTGTGGCAAGCCCAGCAGCTCATGTTGCACGCCTGTTAACTTCTGTAGCACGCCCACGATATGCCGCAGTCTGCGGTAGCACAGTAGTGCTAAGGTGCTAATGTTTATGCTCCCCTCGGACGGAGCCAGTGGCTGCATTCCCAATATGGTAAAAGAGGCGGGACATTTCCGAGAACCGTGCTGAGCAACTGACCAATAATGACAGAGCGGATCGGCAGACCAATCAGAGCAGACTTGGCCCACGTGGGGTCTAACAGTGTGGGCTCAACAGAGTGTAGCTGACAGACTCAGAGCGTAGAGGGAGCAAGGAGGAGCAGTACATGAAAACAGACACTTTTTTCGGACTTTAGCTATTGTGAACGTACAAAAGTAGGTACATACATTAAATATATGAACCCCTAAAAGGGCATAATATGGGATCTTTAATGTTTTTAAATTCTACTAGATAATTAAATCTCACTGAAAACCAGCTCAAATATGCCAAATCCACCACAAAGAGAACTGTCCATTTGTGTATTTCTTATGTCATTTTACGACACACATTTGGATGACAGCAGAAGAAGAAGAATATAGATTTACGAAATATTAAACACCAAGAAATATATAAAAAAATAACTGAATTGCTTCGGTACATTATGATTCTTTTTCTAGCTTTAGAATCTTTGAATGCTGTTCTACACAAATATTGTTTGGAGGGCTGGTTATTGTCAAGGACCTCACAATTCAATTTGAATTCTTTGGGTCACGATTCAATATCGACTCGATTCCATATTGATCAATATGCTTCAATATCTATTCAGTAAGACACATTGATGACAGAAATACCTAGAAAATTTAATTTATGTGTGCATTTTTTGGATTGATTTAGAAAAAACATACTTGAAAACGTGTTTTACAAATGTTGTTTTATCAAGTGGGGCCTCTATATAACGGGAATTGCATTATGGCTTCACCAACAGTGCCCCCACAGGAGTGGGGCTTTAGTACAATGGAAATAATAGATTTTTAGGGTTTTTATTAGGCTATCAGTATTTACTATTATTATTAATTTAGATCAGAAATTAATGCATTCTTTTTTTCTTTTTTTTAGATTTATTACATTTTGTACCCTTAGATGCACCGTGTATACATTTTTACAGTGTCTCCCTGTAGTCATGGTGATGAAAAGAACGACACTGCTGCATCTTTATATTAGTTATTTCACTTGGCAAAAACTCTGAGTAAGTTCAGCTGATGAGTCAAAAGTAATATCGATCTTATCACATCAAACATTTCACTTTTTTACTGTTCCTTTTTTTTTTAGCTGTTTTCATTAACTTTTGATCCATAACAAAGTATTTTTTCTGTGGTTAAGGTATTTTCGTAACCTTCAATCTACCAGAAGGTCCTTACTTTATTTCAAAATAAAAGCAGGGTTGAATTCAGACATTAAATAAAGCACTCTTAGCCTAAGACAGTACAACAATTCAAAAATAAAAGCCTCACAATTCTTACTTTTAAATGCAAAATAATAATACAATTTCAAAGATGTGATTAATGTGATTAATGGCGATTAACTATTGAAAACTAAGACAATAATCAAGCATAAAATGATATCGTTTGAATAATATTATTGCCAAATGGGTGGACCCCAGGAATACTTGTTGCTAGCCTGGTAGCAACTAATGGGGATCCTTTTAAACAATAAACAAATATATGATGCTATGTTGAAGGCATTGCCTCTACTGGTTGAGATATCAGTAAAACTCTAACGTGGGCCATTTGATGCTTGTCTGTAAAATGGTAATAAATATAAAAATAAAATGTACTTATAAATTCATAAAAAGTATCTTTTTTTTTTAAATCTTCATAAAACCTGACTTTAAAAACATGGAAAATGAGGGTCTCTGTTTGCACTAATCCTGCAAGAGATTGTCTATAGTTATCCAAGCCGTGCTGGATAAGAATTTCTCTTTTCTAACATTGGCAAAAAAACAACAACCTATATATTAGAAATAAAATGGGTTAAAAATAAAACGATGCTTATCATCTTAGAAGTTCAACTGTTCAGTCATGATTTCATAGACATTATTTTAGGTGACTTTCACATGTAGTATGTTAATATCATGTTTACCTTTTTTTAGAATTCTTTCTTAACTACTTTGGTGCTTTTTTCTGCCTAAATATAATGTTGAACACATTCAAATTCGTAAGTGGGTCGTCCTTCTTTCCGTTGTCACAACACCAAGTTTTTTTCATGTGCTTCCATCTGAATACGCTCTATAAGGTGGATCGTTGACTCCACTTCACCCAGTTCTCTTTTAAACACCATACAGTGCCTCTTCACTCTCTTTCCACTCTCTCCATCTTGCACCCTCTCTCGTCATCTCTCTCTCTCTCCATCTCCCCTCTTTTTTTCTTGTGCGCAGAAGTAATCCTTTTTTTGCATCCAATTCTCATAGTTTCACTTTCTGCTCATCATTTGTATTTTATCTTATGTTATGTCTCCCAATCCTCTTACTGTCTCCATTTTTCTATCTCTCATTCTCCCCTTCTCCCTCGCTCTCCCACTCTCCCATCTTAGAGACAGTAGTGTGCATGCAGCCTCAATTCTAAGCCGCTGCCTGTCAGGCTGCTCCGTTTATGCGCTCTGCGCTTCTCTCCTCTCCTCTCCTCTCCTCTCTCCCCTATGCGCTATACTGCACCGTACTGCACTGCACTGCTCGTCTCTCCTCACTTCTCCATCTCTCCTGCTTGTTTTCCTCTCTTCTCTCTCTTTCTCCACTTGCATCTCTCTCAGTCTGCAGTCTCTTGATTTTCTCTTTGATTTCTACACTCTGATCCATTGTTTGGGAAAATCCTGTACACTCTGGGTATTTTCGCAACAGAGCTGAGTGTACCCTAGCTGCTGGTGAAGGAGGATTTAATGCTCCTGATGCTCCAGGTTTGGCTTTACTTTGGATCTGTGTGAGCTGAGAAGAGAAGGGATCCAGGAAGAAGGAGAGAGTGGGCAGGAAGTTGCCCAGGTGAGAGCTTCTTCTGCCGGGGAAGTTAAAGCTTCAAGGCGCTGGCGTTGGCAGCAGCGGTAGTGATTGATGGTTTTCCGTGGAGGGTCATGCCCTGGGACTTGTGTGATTTTTGGCTTTTGGAGTTGGAGACCCTTTCCCATTCTTGCCCCCCTAGTGGGGCAGCATTGATCCTGGTGCCGGTAAAAGCCGCCAGGCACCAGTGGCTGCACCGCGAAGAGTGGGCACCATGAACCAGCTGGATGCACCACGGCCACTCAACTGGACCATCAGAAAACTGTGCCATGCAGCCTTCTTGCCATCTGTACGCCTGCTAAAGGTAAAGGAACTTGTGGGAAGGGAGATTGGGAATGAACAAAAAAAAAGGTGCCCCCCCGAGATGTGTAGTAAACTATGTCAGGCAAACCTGCTATCCTGTTACTTTCCAAAGAAAGATGGAGAGGAAAAATTGTGTGAAGCTACAAATGAATTCTGAAAAGGCTGCTATTCCATATCTGTTGGTTGCTTTAAGTGTACTGAGTGCAAGATCCAGTGGATGCAAGATAGAAATAAAGAATTGAGGAAGGAGAGGATGTTGCCACAGATGAAGAGAAGTGTGGCAAAACTGCCAGCAGAACGCTCGGAGGGGAACATAAAGCTCTTGAAGTCGGGGGATGCGCAAAGAGGGGAAGACAAAAATGGAGCAGGGGGAAAGCAGGGGCATGATGTCAGAGAGAAGAACATAGAGTGAGAATGAGAAATAGAAGATGCAGTGACATTGTGTGGAAAGAGAAAGTCAAAGATTTATAAATGATTGAAAAAAAAAATGAAAAGGAAGAGACACTAAAATAAATCATGTGGTGAGAGTGGATTACAGAGTTTCAGGATTGGAAGAAAGCAAGAGGCTGAATAAACCAGGAATGTGAAGAGACCACGCGTGAGAAATGAGAGAAGGGAAAAGCACAGGTAGATCCTGGATGAAAGAGGCAGAATAATAGAGAAGGGAGGAATGAAAAGGAATGACTGTGTTGGAGATGACTGAGAGGATTGAGATTTTGAATCTCAATAGACATGTGTAAAAAATGACTGATACATTCACATTAAAGTGCAGCATCCTGTTGGACCTAATTTTGTCCAAGTTAGCCAGGTTGAGTAGGCAGACCACCCAATGTCACTTGAGCACAGTTGTATAATATATTATGTGACCGCATTCAAGTTTATCAGAGCACTGGATTGGATTTGTGTTTGTGCGTTTTACAGCCTCTGTGAATCCAGGGTGGGCTATATACTACTTGTTTACTGTCATTTGTATTCTTGAACCTCATCTTTATTCATTCATGTGCTTCATAAGCCAGTTACAGGCTCTCTGTAAGTAGGACTATTGTTGGAGGTCCTGAATGCCTGTTCTTCACCCCCCTTTGATCTGCCTTAATCAAAGTGTTGCTGTGATGTGAAACTACACCACCTGAGTGCACTTGCTCACATGTCAGGAATTTGCATTTGTAAAGCCTTGTTAGATGAATATCATTGTTGTCCATGATTCAATGCGCTGTAGGTGTGTTTGTGTGTGTGTGTTCTTCTGTGTGGGTTAACACGATGATATGCATCTGTGTGTTTTGTGAAAAGAGTTTACGTGTTGGGTGTTTACTGTAGTTTTTAAGAAATAGTGGCAGCCAAGGGATTTAATTATTCAGACGTTTCTAAGTTTATACATAGGTAATGCAGAATTGTATGTGTAGGATTGTATTTATCTGAGGAAGATGTGGAAGCAGCCTCATCCTTTTTTTTCTGCTTTTTTTCACCTTTACATTTTCTGCATTACATGAACTGCTCCCCGGGGGATCATTTGGCATCCATGTTGCCAAGCAGCAGTGTACTACAGACGTACCAACCTAAAGGCCAGGCATACTTTGTACAAGACTACTCACATTGTAGCCATGAACTAATTAAAGCCATTTTTAGACTGCATAAGTGTTTTCCCTCTCTAAGTACTGTGAGCATCTTTAATATATGATGTCATCAAGTGAGACTTTTTAGATCTAGTGCCTTTATACTAAATAAGTTATGACCTCTGTAGGCTCATAACTACCCCAAAACACACTTTATTTTAATTAAGGGCCTCTAGCTGTGGAAGGAAAACGTCTTCAAAACATATTCCCTCTCTGCGTCCAACAGTGGTTAACTAAGCTGCTTCAGGTTACCCTTAAAAATCAGTGGCTTAATACCGTCAAAATAACAATAATAATATGAACTGTCATTAAAATGATCTTTTCTTGAAAGCATGAAGCATATTTTTTATTTTGACAATAAATTATTGGTGTCGGTTGTCACAGCCTTGTCTGTTTTATCACCCTGGATGTAGCTGCAGAGGACTATGGGTCCTGAAACTGTTCTTGCGGTGCAAATCTTCCCAGGGAGAAATCAGGCTGTCAGTGTGAAATTATCCTAATAGGCCTGTCATTATTATTGGAAAATTCTGCACAAGCAGCACTTTCCTCCCGTGTCTCTCTAACTTATTACCTGCTTGCTGCTGCCATCCCCTTACTTGTGTGTGTGTGTGTGTGTGTGTGTGTGTGTGTGTGTGTGTGTGTGTGTGTGTGTGTGTGTGTGTGTGTTAGTGTGACTACAATTTATAGGCTGTCAGAGATGTTTCCTGTCCTCCTTGGGCAGGAAAATATGTCCAACAGATTGTGTGCGTGTAGGTGTGTGCTTGTGTCTGTGCACACGCTTTTCTATCAGTATGTGCATTTATAATGCAGTGCCACAGGCATATTGCAGCTTATACTCTGCAAGCACCTGTGAGCACATGATTTAAACTCTGTGCCCTGACCAGAGTGGGATACACAGTTACAAAAGCTACTTTTCATAAAAGCATTCATGTTTGAAATTAAATTGACATTGCAATATTTAATAATTCGCCAAGGATTGTTACTGTTTATGTTCTGTAAGAAAAAGAACACAACCACCTAACTGCTCCCAGCGGAGTTCCTTTTGTTTCATGCAGTCAATCAAAAAGCTATTATCAGTTGCTTCATCTTCTTTACCCACCTCCATTAGCCTTAAGCTGACCACATCACAAGTGAAAGCTCATGTGTGCGTGCTACATGAAGCTTGCTCAAAGATTGATCATCCGAAGATATCATTTACACAATGAGGAGACCCAGAGACTCAGCATTGATGTGAAATTGACTCTGTTTGATGTCTTATCCATTAGAGAGCTGTTGCCCACGCTGTTTAAAGATGTGTGCGCATGTATGTCTCAGTGTGCAGCTGCCCTTGAGGATTGTTGGATTTACAGTAAACCTCTGACAGAGTTTGATTTTACAGTACATTTTTATAGAATGAAATAAGCTCAAGTTAAAGATTTCCCCACAAATACTTGTCTGCCTGCAGGGGTCTTGGTGCTACACTAACTCAGCTTTATCAATTATCCAAAACTGACAATGAATCAAGTTTGTCCTGACAGGAGAGTTCAACACGTAATTGAATTCATTACACCGCCTTCCTCTTGGCCTTTAAAATGGCAAGCAATTTGTCAAGTGCGACTTATAAAAGGAGTGGTATCCCTGCGAGACAAAGGGGTGAAGGTATTTCCCTAACTAGGACACCTAAAGAAGATGGAGAAAGCTCATTTTGGGTATCACTCTGGTGTGTGAGCTCTCATCATGTGTTTGTATAAAAACTTAGCCAGAAACTCTGGAGTCATACAGTTTGCAGTTCATTAGAGTTAATTCCCTCTCTCACACTTTGCTGGGTATGGCTGACAATGTAGATTTCATCAAAATGTCCTCCCTGTCAGAGCTCTTGTTCCTGAAGTAATTGCTTGCAACATTGACAGGAAGTTCATGCCTGGGAGGATTTTGTACAGAATCGGCAGGATTATGTGTGAATCAGGGAAACAATATGAGACAGAGAAGCAGAAAAAGAAAATCTGTCTTCTTTCATCTTCTCTTGGTGACTTTTTCTCATATTCACAGAATCTCAATTCCCCCCCCCCAATGTAGCTCTGTTGTCTTTGGCTTTTAAAGGTTTCACCCTCACCTTCATTCCACGTGTAATGTGTCCTTTTTTCAGTCTTACTTGGAATCATCATATCTGAGATAATAGAAGTTATTTAGCTGCCTCCTCTCTATCAGCTTCAGGGGAATTTTGTTTCACATCTCCTCAGCCTTTTAGGAAATCAGACAGTGTTAATACCTCTGCAGTGCAGTGGTGTAATTGTGTAAAGAAAATGCCGCATACAGTGAACACAGCAGTAATTCTTCTTTGCTTTTCTTCATCATGTCGTTCGATTCCAGCCCTCCCTCTCTTGAATCTACCTTGAGTATTTCTCTGTCATGTCCAGTCTTTTCACCTCATTGTCCTCTTTGTGCCAGCCTCCTTTGTATTTGTTTCTTTATTTACCGATTTTAAATTACTCACTTCTATTCAAAATAAAGCATAGATAACATCCCTTCTTATGCACAATACATGGGTGGCAGGATGCTGCTCCTGCTATAAAATAAATAGATCACTCTATGCTAAAAATACATTAGTGTTACATAAAAAGATTGTCTGTTGCAGTGATTTATATCATCTTGTTTAGCTGCAGGATTTGAACATTATCATAAATAGCAATCACACAAAAATCATCATCACAAGAATCTCCAATTCTTAATGTGAATTCTCACACCTAAATATGCAGTTCAGCTAAGGATCAAAATACATTCTGTCACCCATAGGTGGCATCACCCATTTTTCTATCTACATCGAGGTGAAGAGATTCAAAAATGCTGTAGTATAAACATTTTAAAAGCAGGTACATATTAGGAATCAGTGATGAAAGTCGCGTCTTCCTTTAAGTATGAACCTTTGTTGTTCCATTCATCACATTTATATCACATGAGAATCTGGGTCTTTTAAAATGATTGATTTTGTTCCAGTGCATCAGTCGACAGTAATGCAGTACACTTTTCCTAATTTATCTTTTCTAATTTCCCTGCAATGATGATCATTTTCTGCTTATCTCTAGTCATTTTCATTTGATACATCCTATTAGTGTTTTTTAGCTGGCAATCAGATGAAATACAGACAGCTAAAGTGTTGTAAAATATTTAGTTTTTTGTGCTGAGTCTTTGCGTTTGTCTCTTTTTATTCAGCAGCGGCTTGGCTTCATTTACACATTCCGATAAATCATTAAGATTGGGACAGCAGGGATTGTTATAATTACCAGGCTCTCAGAAATAACTGATTATCTGACGAAATTTGCCAAGTCGTATGATAATAATAATAATACATAACGACAACCTAATACGCTTGTTCCATTGTTGTGCGTTTTGCTGATAAGGATCGTTATTATAG